CCCCCAAATGCTTGGCAGTGAGTTTCATCTAGCTCTGAGGAGACCTTTCTTTGTTGGAGTGAGAATATTTAGCAAAAAACACCCCTCAAAGACCAGACTACCATTGCATTTTGGACCTGAACAAACCCAGACAGCTTTCATTCTCTTCTCAAAGTGAGCTATAAAGTCTGCAAGAATCTCAAAGCACTGTATTAATCCAAGAAACCTTTACAGTAAGAGGTATCTGGGCAACAGGCTTAAACGGGAATTATATCTACAATGAGAGAGGTTTCTTACTGGTGTAAATCAGCTTGCTCCAGGGCTGTCTTAAATAACCCAGAGACTCTGGGCACGGTGCCTGAACATATGCCATTCTCCACATGTGCGAAAGTCTATCGAGGTCAGACTTACTGCATGTGCCAGAAAAGCAATGCATCATACGCAGCTGGACTCCCTGCACGCACCATGCAGAGCTGCTCTGTGCATAAGCAGCAAGCCAAATTGATTGGACTATTTGTGTGCGCATAGAGTTAACTCCACAGCATGTATACTGCCAGTCCAGTGCATCTGGAACTACACCCAGCATCCATCTATGGAATCCATCTCTCAGCCGTACCAGGGCAAATCTGCTTTGGGGACAGGCTTACATCGACGTCAGTTTGTTCCAACTGTCTTTCTGTTGTTTTTCATTCGCTTCTCATTGTTTTATAGCCCTTCTCACCTGTCGTCTTTGTCGTCTTCTGTCCCTTTTCTGCCTGCTCCACGGCATGGCAGGGAGATGCCATGCATGCCTCACCTCCTGAGCCACAGTGAAAACATCTGGAATTCTGCACATCTTTTATAGTGCTTTTGAGCTCACCAGCAAGGCTTTTTACCCAAAGAGTTTCACTTTTTCTTCCAGAAAGTCCAGCTGTGATATGTATCCAGTTCAGCCAAATGAGCTTCCTGACAAAGTGCATTCCACAGCTAGCATTTGCTCGCCCAAGGAAACCACCCTTTGCTATGTACATGGAAGGGTTTTAATCCTGCTGTCCCGTGGCAGAGTGAGGTATTAGGTGATGACCCTAGTAAATGGTTCAATTTTTTGCAGAGCAAAAAGCACTGGAAAGTGAACACTGCATTAGAAAACACCCTTTCACCCCTCCCAGGAAATCCTTTCTTTCTATGGGAATAGTCAAGCTTTGTAAAGAAAAGTTATTTAGGTTAATTAATAGCTAATTGCTTTGCTCAGCTGTGGGAGCTGGGCTAGATCCCAGGCCAGGAGCGTTGCTAGTTAAGCCCAAGTTGAGAACTGTTAACCTGGAGTGAAACTCAAGTGTTTTAATGCAATACCACTGCAAGGGAAAACTGGCGCTCACACTGCTGAAGGGATCGCCACGTTTGCTTTGCCCGTGTGGGATCAGCATGATGTGTGTTACTGTTATGTTATTCATAAAGCTGTCATAAATAATTAGCATATGCTTTCTACTTTTGAATAATCCTTAATAGCAACTTTTATTCCCCTGAATGACCTCCAAAGAGGAGCCTTGCAGATAGTCCAAAGAAAGCAGCCCCAAACACCTCTCTTTGGAAGCACCGTCCTCAGCAAATTAGACACAGAGGCCTTTGGGAATGGTCGTCTTTCCAAATGTCTGCTGGTTTTATGGAGGCTAATGATGTAACTGAGAAGCAGTGTCTGCACTTTAGGTTGAATTCAGACATTTTCCATGCTAAAATAATTCCAGCTGCTTCATTTGCTTCCTTTTCCTGTAGATTCTTTTCCAATGGATGTATTTCATACTGACAGTTTTTACAGATATTGGCACTGGTCAAGCAGAATTCCTGACCAAAATCCAGACAGGAATTTATTGTAAAATAGTATCTGTCTTTCCTAGCCAGCTGCTGCTTATTGGGGGTAGCAGGGAAGGTGGCTTTAAATTTGTATTTTAATTACACAAAGTTAGTTTAGGGGTTTTTTTGCATTTTAGAATAACTAAAATGGAAAGCCAGGTTAGCTGTTGTGTATGGACCATTCAGATTAGTGGAAGCAGGAGAAGAGGTGTGGATGCATGGGAGTGAATGAAGCACAGTGGACCAGTCAGTCTCTACAGGGAGCAGTAATGTGTGCACAGAGCCCCCAAAGTAGCTTGTCCTGGCTCCTTAGCGTAACGGGAAATACGCTGTAGGGTATCAAAGAAAGGTCTTCTGGGTCGGAACCCGACATTGTCTCTCATCCCAAGAGCAGCTCTTGTTCCAGTAAAACTTTGAGGTTTGCTCGGGACTGTTAATAGAAGCTGCAGTGGCCTTAGAGACTTCTTCAAGCGCAAAAATACACTTTCTCCTGTCCACCACTTACAACCTGCAGTTTACATTAACGGTGGGATCGTTACATTTTTCACCTTCAGTTATGCAGACAGTCCCAAAATTGGCCTTCACACTCTGAAGCAATCCAAATCCTTCATTTCTTTGGACAGTCAGTCCAGTGAGAATATTGTCTTTTACATGTAATGGCCACAGGAATATAATGGTCCCGCTGTACATACATACACTTACAGCTTATGTCTTACAGAAATCCTGTAATAACTTTAAGAACAAATGATCATGGCTGTAGCCTTTTTTATGATGGCAAAAATCAGTAAAGAAGGAAAATGTGCCATTTGTGTAAGCCAGTATTTTAACATACATGAAGATAACCACAAATCTCGGGCAGCAACAGAGCTCTGCAAATTGGTGGGATGCTTATGAGTACAAATGCTATAACGATTCCAGTATAGCTGGAAGTAGCTGTGCAAGACCTATTCGTGCTTGTAACGGTTTATTAGAAGTGCAGCAATGCATCATCATACTGAATCTTGAGCATGTACAGGAGAAGAGAGAAATCCTTCCAGGACTGTCTTTTTGCAGCATGCTTGACCTTGTCTCCAGTACGGATTTGCATAGAGGATCCTGGGTGTATGGAGTTCATGGCAGGCTCAGGTTTGCAAAATGTCAGAACCAATAATTCTTTCCTTGACTCTGGAAGTCAGACTCTCCATCAGTTGTCTGTGGGGAATGAAGCTAAGTCATTACTCTGGATTTGGGAGCAATATTTGGGTAAGAAGTTTTTCCTGGCTGTGATGCAAAATGATACAAGTGCCTCAGCCATCTTGCATTCATGCAATTGTAGTGCTGCTTATTGTCAAATTAGCAATACCCACTTCTCTTGAAAATGGGCTTCTTTATAGACTAACTGGAATGATGCAAGCACTGAAAAGTGGCCAGAGATACACTATGTACCATTATTTTATGTGTTGACAGTTGAGAAAATAATATCGTAGCATAGAAGTTTAGTTGGAATTGTTCATTGGTCTAAATACAGTTTAAAAAACAAGAAATAAATCCAGCTGTTAGAAAAAAATGTGTTATTTGAGGTGGATGAACTTTCATTCTGAGAACTATTTTCTTGTCTGCAGATCATTTGCAGGAATGGACTAATGCTTTGGCTTTTCCTTGTATACAAATATAGAACAAGCTGAGCAATTAAGAATTGGATACCAGCCCATTTAAGGAAGATCACTGCATTTAGTTTTGCTGTTTGACCTCAGAAGCAGAGAGGTGTGACTGAAAATATACCTGTGCTGCACAAAATCAAAGTCTACTAGACAAACAATAGCAATGTCCTTTTCTAAAGCATCCTTGAAAAATACTTGTACGTAATTTCTTGCTAGATTGATCGCTGCCAGGAAACTTAAAATAGTCGGTTACTACTTTAAATAGTAATCGGTTTTGGTGACTGTCAGTTGAAACTGAACTTCATGTAGGGTTTCACTGCACAGAAGGTGCAGGGAGGAATACAATGGGCTGTGTTACCTTATAGCGGCCTTAATAATCGATATTAGGCGGTCTAAAGATTTACAATTCAGTCACCCATGGCACCCACCCCGCAGCTTCCAGCTGCCCTGTTGCTTCCCTGGAGAAGCTGACCTTCCTTAGGAGGAAGTCTCCTTCCCACAGTAGCCCCTGCAGAAATGCCTTGAGAGACTCCACCTGAGTGCTCCCTTGACTGGTGATACTCCCATATCCTGCAGGTGATACTGTTTGAGAAGATCATATAAAAATGCCCAAAGGGACAATGATTAAGCTCCCCAATAGAAGAATGGGAAACTGAGGAGAAGCATGATCCTAGCTGAGGAACAGGATTGGAGAGGTGGCTTTACTCCCTGTAGCCTCCCTATGTAGCTTTAGGTTTATGTCACATAAAATCATGTTTTTAAATGTATTTAGGGCTTAAAGATGCAGGTGAGTGCCTTTGGTTAGACTCCAAAGCCTCTAAAAATGGCAGTTAAATAGCTCCACAGCTTTGAGGACCTGTATCTCAGTTCTCCACTTGCACAGTGGAAGTAATTGTGGCTCTGCCGTGGAGATGGCTACATCAGTGTCTTTGATGTGCTTGGGTACCTTAGTGATGATATCTCTACACAGCTCTGCAGGCAATAAGTTGTCTCTTTGCCTTATTTGCCTCGGTGCTAAATAAGGTTCAGCCTGTGCTAGTGTGCCATAATGAATTTATATCGATGATTTTCAGCAGCTGAGGTTCAGGCTGTGAGATTACTGACTTGTTTCCTTCACTGAGATGAGTAAGAGTAGGGAAGAAATTATGTGTTTGTGTGTGTCCTTGTTTATTTTCCCCCACTGTGAAGCATTAACTGGTGACTGAATGCAAAATTTCCTTTCCCCCGTTTGTTCTTACAGGGCTCACATAGGAGTTAATTGCCAAAAAGAAAATTTCATGATATATAACAGTATAAGGGATGACAAAGCTCATGTGGGGGTGGAACAGTTTGAAATGCTGTCAGGTCCTAAGGGTGCTACTCTAATAATACTCCTTCTTTGGCAACAGGGAGTAGGCAAAATAATCTGTGATGTAATGGTCTGACTTGGCATTTACAGCTTGCAAGCCAGTGTTTAGCAACTCAGCAGTTTAGGATTACAGAATTATCAGCAGAGAGAAATATTGTTGCTTGAAATTGTGACGTGGTTTTATAAATTTCCTTCTTTTACAGATTCGGTTAAACAGCAGAGGACTTATCTATTCTGTTGGTCTCCTGCTGGCATCTGTTTTTGTCACAGTATGTATATAGTCTTTTGTTCTTCATTTCCAAAAGAGTGATTTTCATAGACATTTTCTTCACCTGTTCCTTTCTCACCTCCAGCTGTAATAGCGGTTGCAAAGTCTGTTGTTAAGGGATAGGAATGGTCACTCCTATTGTAAACTTCCCAAGACCTTAATCTGGCATTTCGCAGAAGCTGTCACAAGATGGCTCTCATATTTGTATATTTTTCATGGGAGGACCCCGGGAGACCCATTAGTAATCATCAGTTATTTTCATGCCAGGGTTGAAGCAGATCCCTTGATGTATGACGAGATCCATTCTTCTCTTGGACAGGTAGACAAAATGCTGTACAGTTTGCTTTGGCCCTCTGTAGGAACCTTCTGAAATACAACACAGACCAGAACAAATAGTGCCTGGACACGACAATGTTTCTATTGAAATCAGTGCCTTGCGTTCCCTGACCTGTCCAAGTCTAGCATAGCAGACTAGAAAAGATAGAGAGAAGAGGATTTATGTGACATCTTCCAAATCTTGAGACGAGCTGCTATAGGGAATCCTCCTGTGCGTTGCACACCAACACAATTCCCACATACACGAGACTTAAATCTTTTAAGAGGTTTATGTGGGAGCAAACTACACAAAGTCAAGCACAGCATTAGACTGTGTGGCTCTAGATTGAGATGCAGAGGGGCACATGAAGCATTTTGAGTGAAGAAAAAGGAATCTGGCCTTTGAAAACGTTTCTGATTGAACTAAAGGGGATTGTTCTTGCCAAAATGAAATCTGTTGCAGAAACTTAAGGCCCTTGGGCCAGGACTTGAGGTGATGTAAGTCAGCGTGGCTTCAATGACTGCGAGGGGGCTACTCTGATTTACTTCACCTGTGGTCTTCAGCTCGCTTGTTGCAGTACTTGCATTGTGATTGCTTCCAGGTGACCATGATCAGTAAGGGGACGGTCATCTTCGTACTCCTGTAATTGAGAAGGGGATTTACCACTTTATTTGAAATGTTCTTGCTGTGGTGGCTTACTCTGTGTTTATTGTAGGTTTTTGGCGTCCACATGAACAAATGGAAACTGGATAAGAAGCTAGGGTGTGTGTGCCTTTCCCTTTATGGCATCTTCCTGTGTTTCTCCATCATGACAGAATTCAATGTTTTCACTTTTGTGAACTTGCCAATGTGCAGAGATCACTAATGCAGGTGGCAGACTGTTGGGATGAACTTCCTTCTTACCTGTGCAATACAAACCACGGCTGGCATCTCCTGAACGCGGTGCACCTCCAAGTCGTGACGTATATCCTGTTCACTGTTCATAGGACCCATGGCCCCATCTAGGTCTGCCCTCTCCCTGACCCCCCACAACCTGGAAAAATCCTGCATCGATGTGAAGATTATTTTTTTCAACATTCATGTGATTTCCTAGCTCAGTTTTTGAACAGTGTGACTGGGACTCTAGATGAACTGGCTGCTAACTGGCGTCAAGCCAGGCAAAACTGGTCTGCTACAATTCCTTCTTTTTTTAAGTTATTTGATGGAAGACTAATCTAATTTATGACTTAAGACTATTGCTACAATGCAGAAGAGGGTACATCATACAGGGGCTGATTTTCAAGGAGACTCATGGGAATATTTTTGGTTGGTTTTTTGTTTGGTTTTGGGGTTTTTTTTTGTTTTGTTGTTTTTTGTCGTTTGTTTGTTTGTTGTTTTTTTGTTGTTTTTTGTCGTTTGTTTGTTTGTTTGGTTTTTTTAATTGCCAGAGATCAACGTCCTCTCTTGCAGCTTCTCCTTCTGAGCGCTGGGTCTCCTGTAATGATCCAAAGGTCACAGGGCAATGTAATATGGGAATACAATTCAAGGTACTCTGCATATGAATGGATTTACTGCATATTAAAAGAAGATTGTCAAGGCAACAGATGATGACTTTTTACCATAAATAAGGAATCTTGTACAGGTGTGATGAGGAATGCAAGGTAAACATGGATTCTAAAGGGTAAACAGTGCTACCATTTTACTACTTACGTTGGAGTTTTATTAGTATGGTGTTTATGGTATTTCCAAGCAATAGTTTGATCGCTAGCCCAGGAGGGCTACCAAGGAGGTGTCCTTGTTTTTAATGATCTGCACATGGAAATGGAAGGTCAGAACTTTCTCTGCTTCATCAGATTTCTTGTTGGGGGGGGATTCAATAGTTATGTCTTATTCGTTCTGAGAAGGACATAAGTACATGTCGGAACTTTTCTAAATGAGTTACAGACACTGGTTTCTTTAAAAGGAAAGAGGCATATTTTGCACAGACATAGTTATTGAAGTCATAATTTGCCACTCTTTAAAGAATACACTGGACCTGGCCAGATATTTGTCGTCTTAAGCAGTTGAACTTATCTGATAACAGATCATGTGGATTCATCACCCTTCCTTTGGGAGGGAGGAAAACACAGAGAGAGATGGCACTTTTTAAAATGTGGAATATCTTCAATGCAGACTCGCTCACAGATCTTAAGTTATTGTGAAAGTTTAGCTATTCATTGTTCCAATATCCCTGCTAGATTTTGTATAATTCTGTATTAATATGCAGGCAGATTCTACCCCATGAGAAATACCATCACAGCTTCATTTGTATGTATTGATACTGTGGATTCTTGCCAGTGCTGGCTCTTGTAGTTACTTTAAGCACTGATCACTTCTGATTTATTTGGTATGTTTTTTCCTCTTTCTTGTATATGTTCTACTATGAAATGTATTAAGATACTACCAGCTAGGTGAATGTTTTTGTCTATGGTACAAACAGTGGCAAATATTGGTAGTAAAGGCACAGCAAACCCTATGTAAAAGAAAGAAAGGGAAAAAAAAAAACCACCAAACCCTAAACTACAGCAGGAAAAAAAAATTCCAACTAAAAAGAAAAAGAGCGCGCCCCATTCACAGACAGAAGGCCAATTTTTATTTCATTTGCACTTTTGGAAGTGATTTTTTCAGTTTAATTTTCTTTTGGCAAAATGTTGTAAATCAAAATATTTACATCCTGTGGTTTCCATTCAGCTCGGCATGTGATTTTGTTTGTTACACTAAATGTGTGGAGGCACTGGCAGCCGTTGCACTGTGCGTGTCGAGGAAGTCCAGTGGAAAAAGCCGTGCACCGCTGGCCTCGGTGAACAAAGTGTGCTTGTGGATCCCTGGCAAGAAGAAGGAAGGGTCCAGGGACAGGCAGTAGAGAGAGTCAATGACATGCCTGCGTCATCATTTTTCGTTCTGGAAAACAATTGTGTTGCTACTTGTTGAGCTATGCAGCCTGTTGTTTGAGCAGCCTTCTCCTAACTATGCCTACTGGAAGTCCTCTTGCGTCAGGAAGCCCACTGTACCTTCCTGTTGTTGTTTTTTTGTTGCTGTTGTTTCTTTTTTTGTTGTTGTTAATGAGATTAATAATAATAATTATAATCACTAAAATGCCTACAATACTTCCTTAGATCAAACAATGGTAGCAACAATGTGGCACATTTCACTAAAATCCACCCCACAAACACACAGCTATACTCTTGTAGCAAGATGCAGTTGCTCTTAAGCAGAGTGTTTCCTTGCTGACAGAAGGGACAGATTTGGGGAAGGAAAAAAAAAAAAAGAGAAGTTACGTATCAGGGCCTATTATTACTTCTATTTTGAATATTTATACTGCTACTCCAATGGAGCCAGTTGGATCTATTTCTACGAAATAGCCATTACCTATCCCATGGCACAAAAACTGCATGAGTATTTTTTAGGAACTTTTCCTATTGGTGTGCATTAAATACTGTAGTATATTGTAGCTTTGCATTGTGTGTAAAAGCTGAAATACTTGTTTTGACACTTGTGCATTGTGCAAGAATGTTCTGCAAGTTGTTTGTTCTAAGCAGAAGCAAAAGGTACGTTGAACTGCCATTATCTGTGCCATATATTAATTGATAAGCGCTTCCTATTTGACAGTTTCAGTGAGATGTGCTTATGATTTGCAACCAAATCAACCAGTGCAGACCTGGTTTGGAACAGGATAGACCAACTGAATGTGTGCGTTCTTGGTTTTGTCTCCAAAAGAGAGAGCCTCTCAAGTTTGTTAGCATAATCAAAGCCTGTGGAAAAGTCCTCAAAGCAAAAAACTTGAGCAATTTTTAGCATCCTTCCTATACGACATCTCCAAAACTCACACAGACAGTTATATTCAAATGCAGTGCATATTAATAGCTCTACTTTATCAAGCCAAGCAGAGGACTGAGTCTGAGGGGTTGTCTCCTCCCCATGTTAGATTCTGGAAGCTGCTGGCTGTGCATGAGGGGACAGCCAGCCGCCCAGCTTTGGTTTCCTGATGAGAAGCTCTGCAGTGCCCATTGTGCCCAAGCCGCGTGGGCCATCGTTGGGATGCAGGGCCATGGGAGCCCATCGAGGGTGGCTGCCCCCTGCCCTGCGTGGGTGGCTGGGCTGGCAGACCCCCTGGAGGTGTGGGGTGGGACGGGGCCGTGGCATGGTGGGGCTGGGGCTTGGCACCAGGGCAGTGGGGGGGTTGGCAGGTGGCTGGCTGAGGGGAAGGAGGGAGCTGAGGCACAAAGGGGCTGTGGAGAGGCCCAGGGTTTGGGGGGCTGGGGGAAACCAGTGGTAAAGCCAGGTTGGGTTGGGTTTTTTGAATATGACTGTGATTCATTTGTGGTTTTATTCTTCTGAAAGCAAGGGTCACCTTCACATCTGAGGCTGCTCTGGTCTTCGGACCAGTCGACTGTTTTTGTTTCCATTCCTAGCGGTTTCAGACGATTCTTAATGAGTATTTCAAAGGGAGATTAAAGAGCCTTTTCCTCAGTGGATAGCACTTCACTGCAGCTCTGACTTTGGCCTGATTTAAATATGTGATCCCTTGCTAGTTTCAACTCTGCTCTTCCTTTGACAGCGGTTCAAAGGCAGAATGATAGGATATGATATGATATGAGGAGGTCTTAAGACATGCTGGAAAAACTGCTTTTGTCCCTACCAAAAGTGAATTTTATACTTGCTTTTTTTTTTTTCTTTATTTTTTTCCTGTTTTTTGATGTACTGCACTTTTTGGTAGATTGTTTCTGCGATAGGAACACCAACCTGAAATGGGTGCATGGGAGGAGATTTTCACTGGTATAATTTGGGGTTTTTTTTCTGTGATGCCACTTGCCTGCTTTGTTTTCAGCTTTCTGTCCTCAGCTGTGTCATTGAAATCAGTTGACTAGCATGCTTTGGATTTGTGATATTAGTGCTTGTGAAAATGAATGCTCAGTCTTAACATTCAGATAGATGCGTGACAGGCTTTTTTCTTGATGAAACAAATCAGGTAGAACAGCAATCTAGTTTTAGAAAAACAACGTTCAATGTAGGTGGAGCAACCTGAGGGTAACATTTAATATCCTGCTGTCAGAACAGGAATTTTTATATGCATTTTCCAAATAACCGTATTAATACTTGTGAGATAAAATGTAGATTGAATATTGTTGAATAACTTTTTAGAAAACCATAACTTTCTGCTGATTGACAAATGTTTCTTATATCAAGATTTTTGGAAGCCCTAATCCTTTCACATAAAGCTCACAGAGTTGCAATAGTGTAAGGTTTATCTATTTCAAAGTTGCACCACTGGAGCTTTAAACTTGTTTAAATGTGTACTTTAAAAATCAGTCTCAGTGGACCACGCTTAGCTGGATTTAAATCTGCCCTGTATTCATGAAGTTTCACTTGATCAGTAGCCACTCTAAGTTAGTCTAAAATAGACTTAAATCCAGGCAAGAACGTCCACATTAGGTTTGTACAACTTTAACTGAATCAGTTTAAAGCCATGCTTTTAAGGAAAGCGGTGGAAGTTTGAATATTTGGAAGACCTCGGCCATTTCACTTCAAATTTAAGGAACTGCAGAGTTTGAGTATGCTGAATGGGTGTACCAAGTATAATGCAAGGCTTAAAGTTAAAGGAAGAGAGTTTTCAGTATTCACTGACTTGAGTGAAAGTTGACCTCTATTGAAATCAACGTCAAAACCCCAATGATTGTTTTGTAGGGTCAGTGTACGTGTTTGCAGCAGCAAGTCCTGAAAAGGACTGTTGCACTTTGTTTTTTAAAGATGAATGAACTTTTTTATTTTCTTACCTCAATAGATAAATGGATAACTATTAATACAACTAGGGACCTTTAAGGGATTTTACCTGAATATTCTGTTAGTAATTAGTGGCCTCAAATCTGAAGCATATTTCATAAACGCATCTACTTCCCCCCCAACTGATCTGACTTCTTTGGCTGAATCTCCAGAATCGATCTCGGGTGTGGACAAATCCATACCTTTTGGAAAGGTTTTCTTTATTGACAGGAAAGCAATGAGGGAAGAAATGGCAGTTTGTTTCATTGCGCACCAGGGGATATAATTTGGCTGTGAAATCTATTGCTCACTGCCCTGAAACGGCCTGAGATCTAGGCCAAGTTATCCAAGTTTGGGCAGAAGCATTTAATTTCAGGAAAGCTTCTAAAAAAGCACAATTTGTTTAAAGCAACAGACTTTGTAATGTATTTATAT